ACTTTTTACCGTCCTATAATCAGATCGTGACCTCGATTATGACACCGGCTCCTGGCCACGAAACATAAGAAAAAACAGCCAAATGTGAAATATAAAAGATTAATAATTGTCATGTTCTACCAAAGAGTTTAGTCTCGCTGGTATTGCATTTTGTAGAACTGACATCTCTGCTTCTTTGCTTTGTGTTTGTGTATTCACATCTAACGATAAATTTAATGTTTGTTGGAAAAATATCTATGAGATATTTTCCCGATTATTTTAGCGGTTGAACATGCATACAACATGAAGTCCGGATTTGTTTTCATTTTTCATTCACAACGCAGTGTTGCCGCCTCGAGTAAGATTCTTGTGTGATATCTTCATTCTCCAGGCTCTATACAGGTCCCATCTGACGTTGATTACCCTGTCAAACAAGTCAGCCTTCGCCCCTGGGTCTCTACTCTGTATTTTGATAATTTAAAGAAAAAGAAATCATCACCATCATCATCAGCACCACTACCCCTTTCAGCTACGCCTCTGAAATTGACACAAGACGTTTTCGAAGTCTGCGATAGCTTGCGAACTTGTATAGGTTAATTCCCCTTGCGGCACTGCTGGGTTATTTGAGAGGCGGAACCTCGTAATTCAACGTCCATGTCCGTTAGAATCGCGTCAATTAATGAGGAATTTCGTAACGTGCCTTTTTTCAACCTCATGAAGAGTCCGGTCACCTAACCACGAGACTACTGACGCCACCAGCACTATTTTCACAGCTTAGATTTACATACCCTCTAAAAGACAGGAAACAACAAGTATACTATACGAACTATGCAAAATTGTGTTTATGATTTGTGTATGATGAATGTTTTAAAATTATGTGCAGCTACATCGCCTTTGTTCTGCTGATGATCAGACATACATGCAGGTATGTGTGTGTACGCTACGCCCCCCAAATAGTCAAGGGGTTAAACAGGCTGTTCTTTCCAAGCTAACAGCTACCAAATAGACACTACACTACCTTAGAATAAAAACTTTCTTTCTGACTTTTGGCCATATTTGAATTACTAAGACCACGAGGTCAGAAGCCAAATGCAGGGTGATCACCCCCCCCCCCTCCCCCAACCCAAAACCCCCCCAAACCAAACCAAAACAAAACAACAACAAAAAACAAACACAAACAAAACAGAAAACAACAACAATAACAACAAAAACAACAACAAACAACCAAACAACTCCCCCCCAACAAAACAAAACAAAAACATAAGAAACGCTACAAATCAAAACAAAATAAGAAATAGATAATTTGTTCATTATCACCAAGTCAGCCCTTTTTGCTTAAAATACACTTCTAGTGCGCATGATATCACGTCTAAGCTGATTTGTTCTTTTCTTTTTCTTTTTTTTTTGGGGGGGGGGGTTCGGCAACGTTTTGACACACTACAAGACTGAATGTCTATGACAATGTGAGGGTAAGTTAATGGTAAAATCATTATTATAATTTTTTTGGGGGGGGGGGTCGTTCTTCTTTCTATTTTTCCTCTCTTGTTCTTTTCTTTAAAACACATGGATCCACCCAACCATGAGTCTTTCAAGCCCTAAACACTATACACCTTACAGTATGGAGTTGATTCTAGAGACAATAGGGGAGATGGGTGGGGTTGCCCAAGAGACAGCATAATATTAATTTGTGGATTTAACATATCCTGAAAGGTGAATATGGGCCTTGCCAAGGAACCAAATGTCATCGAGGAAATGTTCACGATTTTCAAGGCGTCCGAGGGATCATAAACACACTGCTGTCCGCTGAGCCATGTCAGCTTTGCAAACAAATGGTGCCGTCGTAGATGAAGATTTGCCTTCAGAATGCGGACCGTAGAGATGTAGGAATGCCCAAGCTGCAGATGTCGTCTGCGGACAGACGTCTCATGCCACTTTTCTACTGAATTTTTCACCCTGGTGACGTTTAAAGGGGTGCAAATGGTTGTCCTAACTGATGGACCATTTAAACATTATTTTCGTACCTCAAAATGGTAGTGAGGTACCTTTCAATGCAAAAGCTCTCTGCTCCTTACTAATCTTCACCATGATCTCAATAGGCAAAGGAAATTTGAGAAAAACTATCTGCAAACTTCTTTTAGCCTGGTAGACTACTGTAGGTTGTAATATGGCGCATTCCTTTGGGACTTTCAGCTGTAGGTCTAATGCGAATTAGCGCATCATGATACAAAAATGTGGACATAGCTAAAAATGGGTTGTTTTTTACCTGCTAGGTGGAGCAAAACTATTCTGTGGATTTATCTAAAATGAATATCAACCAATTACCTTCTGACATCCAAATGTAGGGCACAAATTTGAATCGCAAAACTTCAGTTTGGAGGAAAATATTTACATAAAAAGTTGTACAGTTTTTAAAAAACCCATCCTGTAGGCTGTTTGCTCAAATAAAATCGTAAGATTATTCCGAGTCGTCATTAAATTATTCAAACAATTGCACTGGGAAACGCTTGACATGTGAAACTGAAAAGCTACGCTAATTTTGTACTAAGAGGGAGGGAGGAAAATAGCTTACTAGATAGATTGATAGACAGACAGATAGATAGATCAATTAGTATTGCAATTTATTATTGTTATTATTATTATCATTACCATTATTATATTATTATTATTATTATTATCATCATTATTATTATCATTATTATTATCATTATCATTATTATTATTATTATTATTATTAGTATACTTTCACAGGTCTACCTGCCGGGTTAGCACGGACAAAAGCTGCGTTAATTATGTACGCTCTAACGACAAGACCCTGCTTGGCTTTTCCAAACTCCCCGATTTGATTGCAGGCTACCATCGCCTCCTTCGGAATAGATAGCTTGCTAGCTTGATAGATTGATAGACAGATAGATAGATAGATAGATAGATAGACAGATAGATAGATAGATAGATAGATAGATAGATAGATAGATAGATAGATAGATAGA